ACCACATCTATTGGATTCCACAGAGCTGATTCTTCCTCAGGTCTGCAGTGGGTGAAATACTGACCACTGTCCCTAAAGAAGAACACTTCCTCTTTTGAATATGATAATAACAACAATTCAGAACAATAAAGTACTTTCCATCTGCAAATTACATTTGCATCTGGAATCTCACTGAATCATCAAGAGAGCCCGAAGAAGTGGGCCACCATTCAGCAGATGAGCTCACTGAAGCTCAGAGAGCCTGAATGGTTCCAGGATTAAGAAACACGAGCTTGGGAACCAGACCACCCTGGATCCAAACTCTGCCTCTGCCATTTCCATTCCTTCAACAAATATTTACTGAGCACTTAGCTGTGTGAGCGCCCACAAGTGACTTCACCCCTCAGCGCCTCCGTTTAGTTCCTCTTTGTAAGAGTCTTAACACCACTCATCAAATCCATTCTCTCCCTTGTCTGACAATGCCAGACACTTGCTTTCCCAGGCTTCCCTGTGGCTATAGCCTGAGCATGTGACCTGATCCTGGCCAATGGGATTTAAGAAGGCTTTTGGGCCCTTACTGATTTGGCTCAGTGGATAGAGCGTCAGCCTAGGGACTGAAGGGTCCCAGGCTCAATTCCGGTCAAGGGCATGTACCTTGGTTGTGGGCACATCCCCAGTAGGGGATGTGCAGGAGGCAGCTGATAGATGTTTCTCTCACATTGATGTTTCTAACTCTCTATCTCTCTTCCTCTCTGTAAAAAAAAATCATATATATATATATATATATATATATATATATATATATATATGAAGAAGGCTTTTGGGAAAGGCTTATCTCTCAGGGAAAAACGGGCACACAGGATGAAACGCCTTACTTTATTGGTTGGAGATGATGTGCCAACATTCGAAGCCTGGGATATAAGGCATCAAGCCTGAGGACCAAGCCACTTGCAGGAGTTAGAGGAGCCAAAAGATGAAAAGAACCTCGAATCCTGATGGCACCATGGAGCCATTACTCTGAAACCGGCTCCTTTGAAACTTGCTGTTATGCGACATGACGCATCTTCCTCCTTCTAGAAGCCACTTGGATCTTTTTATGCTGTTACTTGCAGCCCAAGCAGCCAGACTATCTGGATTGTCAAAGGGATTTCAACGAGCTGCTGGGTATAAAGTTCCACTAGTCAGTGCTTGGCACAATAAGCAGCAGCTACTCTGGAAATGAAGGAATGATCGTAGGATAATTGTCTGTGTCTGGGGAACACAGACACTGCAGATTCGTTCCCGCTCTCTCTCCTACTGAGAGGAGCCTGTGGAGTTTTCTGAGAAAGCAGAAACCCAGTGGTGGCCCCGCACAGAAACCCTGTCATTTAGTTGGGGCTGACCCCACTTCTAAACGAGAATCAATCACCCTGCCTTGTGCTTAATGGATTTTGATTTTCATTCCCCTGACAGCGAAGGCTGAGGCCTGTGCTTTGGTTTGTCTCCGCGTTGCCAGAACATCCCATCAATTATTAACGGTGCCAGCTCAGCCTCCCAGTCCTGCTATCGGGAGGAAAGGGTTTGCCGCAGCTCAACCCACTCAGCCATGGAGGAAGGCCCCGCCTCCTGGGTGCTGGGTCCTGTGAGAAAGTGTGGCAAACATGACTTCCATGATGACCCTGTAAGGTGGGTCTTTTGTCACCATTTTACAGGTGGGAGGCTGGGCTTGGAGAGCTGAAGAACTTGCCAGTGGCCAGAAACTGGGGAGGGTGCCGGAGTGGGCCTGGACCCCGGTCTTGTTCTTGCTCTGAAACACTGGGATAGGGCCGCTTCTGGATCTCAGAGGGTAAAGAAGGAGGACTGCCCAGAAATGCTCCTCGGTTTTACCTTCTCCTTCTGTGGCTTCTGAGAAGTTCCCACAGGCCTTGCTGTCTGACAAGCAAGGCATCCAAATTGGGGGGATGGACGGGAGTGAGGGGAGCACAGGGAACTGGGTTGCAGGTGGGAAGTGAGAGAGGAATGACAGATCCTCAAACCCTGACTGCTTGATTCATTCATTTATTCTGCATTTAGTAACTGGAGTTCCTTTGTGCCAGGCACCATGATGGGTGCTGGGAACAGAGCAGTAAACACAACTCACAGAGTTTACGCTCTTGTGTGGGAGAAACAGAGAAACAAAAGGAAGCAGGTATCATTTCAGATGGTGCTTAGAGCCTCTGCAGGAAAGACACTGAATGATCTGACAGCGACTAAGGGGAGGAGGCTGTTTACAACAGGGCTTGGAAAAGGCCTCTCTGAGGAGACATCTGCTTAAACGAGGCAAGAGGAGAAGTGGCTGGCCATGGGACGATCTGAGAAAGAGCATTCTAGGCAGCAGGAACAGCAAGTGCAAAGGTCCTGAGCTAGGATAAAGCCTGACCAGTTTATGGAGTCCAGTAGGGCCTGAGCAAGTGAACTAAAGGAGAATAGAAGGAAATACACTCAGAGAGGTCATGGGCCTGGATTCAGTAAGGTCTGGTATGTCACGGCGAAGGTTTGGATTTTATTCTGAATGTGATGGGAAATCTCTGGAGGATTTTGAGCAGATAAATAACGTGATCCCATTTGCACATTGTATAGCTCACTCTAGCTGCTGTGTGGGCAGTGGATTGCAAGGGCAAATGTGGAAGCAGGCAGACTGGGGAGGAGGCTACGGCACTTGTTCATTATGGAAAGAACAGGGTCTATACAATCACACTTGGGTTTGAATTTCTGACTACTTCTGTGTGATGTTAGACAAGTTACTTAACCCCTCTGAGCCTCCCTTTGAGAAAGGTATACGAGCTAATGGTGCTGTTGCACTTCTGACATGGTAGGTGTTTGATCAATGGCAGGAGGATTTCTAGCCTGAGAGCCAATGAGCTTGCCTGCCTTCTCCTTTCAGTTCTGGCCATCCATCTGCCAGGCATGTGTGGCGACTAAGCCTGGGGTCACAGAGAGGTCACAACGCTGTCCCCGTGAGCAGTTTAACCCAACGGGGAGACGAGGCTGTTTATTCCCAAACAGTGTCTTCTGCAAGCCTGAGCTTCCCTGCCATGCTGTCAGACGCCAACCTAAACACTGCCTTTGCCTGCTTCTCCTCTGTGAGGGTGACCCTCCCCTCCCCCGCCTCTTACTCTCATGTCTTAGGGACACAGGGAGGAGGGAGAGTCGTGTCTACGCCTAAACAGGATGTGGAGGGCAGAAACATGTGTCAGGCCTGGAAATAGCAAAATAAGTCTGTTGATCCTAAGCCGGTTAAGGGTGAGTGACTGTCTTAAGATGGAGGCTTTTTGGACACGAAACCTGGGGCAGGATTAGGACCAGAGGCAGCCTTCGTCCTTAGAAGAGGAAAGCAGGCCTAGGAATCTCTGTCCTCTTTAGGGTTGGCAGGGAAGAGGGAAAACCTACACGTTTCCCTCCACTGCCCTTCCCAGCCATGTTCTCCTGCATCCCCTCTCAGAGGTCTCTCCTTGGGTAGTCAGATCTGGGGCAGGTACCCCACAGGGTTCCCTTCAGACTTGGCCCTGCAGGGAAGCCTTACTGGGGCACTAACTGAGCCAGGGGGGGTTCCGTAATGAGGCTGGCTGAAGGTAGCCCTACCTATTACATTATGGCTGGTCTGTAGACTTCCTCCCTTTTTTGCATGAATACTTTGACCTATCCCCCCACACCTCCCTTTTGGCCCTGCTCTCAGGTCTCAGATGGCAAACTATGCTCAACACAAGTCTTTTCCAACTTGGTCTTCTTGGATCTTGGCACCAATGCCTCTGTTTTCTGGGCTCCCCGTGGGTTCCCCATGAACTTCTGTGTAGCACTGAACATCCTGTGTTGTCATGTGTTCTGACACCCAGCACACTGGCCACAGGAAGAGAGGCCTTATCTCTCCAAGACAGCTCTGAATCCCAGCCTGACACAGAGGCGGTGCTCCCATCCTGGCCTGGCCCCCACCCAAAGCCTCTCCCAGCCCCTGCCCCCTGGCAGCACACAGGACTGCCTGGCCCACCAGGTGTCATCAGATTCACCCCTGCCTCCTCCTTCGGCTTTGTTTTTCACACTGCCTCATTTTTTCCTCTCCTATTTTGAAATTCACATTCTCTTCCAGCAGCCGAAGCATCTTTACAAGCTGCATCAAACCATTCATGGGATAAACTCACCACATAAATAAAGAACAAGCCAGTGGTGTGACCCTTCGCCCACAAGCATCCACAGCCAATGGCGTGCGTCACGCCTGCTCACACCCACCCCTCAGAGTCCCTTTGCCTCATTTTTCTTACTTATACGAAGACTGCCTGACGGTATCTCAATGCCCTCCAAGCAAGTCTAGAAGCTGCCTTCATTCCCTCCTTGAGGGCCATGTGGGGTTGTCAATATAGGGCTAAGTATTAAAATTGCAGGGGGACACCCCCTCCAGCCTGAGACTGGGACTTCTGTAGAATGGACCAAACTAAGTCTACTCCACCCCGGCAAGGCTTCACTGCTTCTCTGTGCTCTCTTTCTCACAGGCAGTGTCCACCCTCTTGCTGTGGGTTTTAGAACTCTCTCTAAATCCTTTTCACCAACAAGGTCAGGCTATAAAGTATTGAATAATAAAAGGATGGGGTGCCCTGGCCCCCCCATGTGGCTTGGAGGTTAGAGCCTCAGCCCTCCAACGGAAGGGAACCAAAGGTTTGATTCCAGCCTGGGAAGAAGCCTGTGCTGTAAGCAACCAATCGGTGTCTTGTTCACCTCTCTCTCTCTCTCTCTCTCTCTCTCTCTCTCTCTCTCTCTCTCTCTCTCTCTCTTCTCTTCTTGCTCCCTTTCACTCTCTCTAAAAATCAATGGGGAAAAAATATCCTCCATTGAGGGTTAACAACAATGAAGATGGGGTGACCAGTACCACATAGGAACAGTCTGAAGAGGCTATTCTCACTTCCAAGGTCTTGGCTACAGCCCCTCCTCCTTCAGACTCCCCCCAGCCCTGGTCACCAATCTGGGGACACAGCAGAACCCCCCAGCCCAGCGGCGACCAGACCCCCGCTTACCTTGGCAGCCACAGAGGAATTGGGCTTCTCCAGCAGGTCCCAGAGCTTCTTCCTCTTCTCCGCACAGCACGTGTTGTCGAACTCCTCGCCCTCCCGCTCTCGCAGGGTCTCGGCCTCCCGCTTGAGCTCCTCGTTCATCTGCTCCTTCTTCTGGTGGTAGCGAGCCTGGCAGCAGGACTCCAGGTAGATCTCGTCGATGCCCCAGTAGTCCAGCTCCTGGCTGAAGCTGAGCGCGCACATCTCCTCCATCATGTGCAGCCGCCCCGTTCGGTAGAAGTTGAGGATGGAGGTGAAGGCGCCCGGGTGGCGGTCGAAGAAGTACTCGTTGTCGTCCAGGCTGTAGTCGTCACACACCTCGAGCAGCGAGTCGTGCGTGTTGCAGTCGCGGAGCTTGCCCAGCCGCGTGCGGGGCAGGCGGTCCAGGGTGCGCCAGAGCACCTCGTGCGCCAGGCCCCCCACGTTGAGGCGGACTCTCCGCGAGCACGCCTTGCTGCGCACGATCTCCATGGGCTCGGGCGGCAGCGAGCTGGTGGAGCGGGAGCCATGCTTCGTCATGCCCGCCGGCATCGCTGGTCCGGCCGCCCCCGCCCCCCCTGCCCCCCCGGGCCGCTGTCACTGGACCGCGAGGCCGGCCGCTGCGGGGGAGGGGGGCAGGGAGCACGCTGACGGGCTGCTGGGGGTGCAGGAGGCTGCGCAGGCGCGCGTCACGGCCGTCTTCTCACCTCCATCCCGACGACGACGGCTGCGAGGCAGAAAGCGGACGAAGGTCAGCGAAGAGGTTAACGGGGCGCGGGCCCCTCCCCAGCTTTCCAGCCGGTTCACGGCTGGCCTTGACCTTCTGGGTGCTTAAGCGGCTCAGGGAGGGGAGACAGGCCGGGCGCTGTCCCTCCCGCGGGTGCTGAAGCCCGCCCCACCCCCATGGATGGATGGAGGGAGGGAGGGGCCGCCCTTCGAAGCTGGGAGAGGGCCCCCAAGAGGAACCCCGGGGACCCGGGAGGCCACACCCGGGTTCCTGCAGCTCAGGCCCAACCCGGCGGCCCGGGAGCTGTCCGGCCCCTCGGGTGCTGAAACTCGCTTTTCTTTGGGTATCCCAGTCGAGTTCAGAATCTGGCCCCAAAATAGGGAGAGAGGGGAGCTGCATGAAAAACTTTTTTTTTTTTTTGAAAGACCTCACCTTTTCCTTGCCTTGTTCCGAGATCATTAAGAATGGAGGGCTAAGGGAGATGGCAGTGGGTTTGCTTTTTCTAAACCTTAAAAGATTTGGGGGAATTCTGTGGGGGTTTAGGTGCCCACTTGTCGGAAGTCGTAACAGACAGGATGGTCACAACGGCACCCTGGAGCGACCCCTCTCCCCAAGTCACAGGGGCATCTCTTGAGGTCGCTAGGAGGACGAGAAGAGACCGCAAAGCCAAGCTCTGCGCGGGTTCCCACCCCTCCCTCCCTCTGTGCCCCCTAACCCACAGCAGGAGGGGCGCGCGGAGTCCTGAGGAGCCACCTGCTCCGTCTTCCCCTGGCTCCTTCCCCGCCCCCTTCTCCTTCTCTCCTCCTCCTCCTCCTCCTCTTCCTCCTCCTGTTCCTCCTGCTCCTCCTCCTCCTCCTCCTCGATCCTCTCCTGCGATGGCTTTTTATAACTCCGGGTTCTGTGCTTTCCCCGGGGCTTAGAAGGGAAGGGGTGGGGGAAGTGGGAGGCGGGGAAAAGAGCTGGATTTTCTGGCCTTTTAAAAAACGTGCCTCCTCCTGTCGCGCACTGGTGATTTCGGGGGCTCCTCTGAGCCCCCAGCAGCGAGGCTCACGCCCTCTCCTCTCGCCCCGGAATGAGATCTAGCGTCTCTCCAGGCCCCGGCCCTGGTCCGCCCCACCCCCCCACCCCCAGCCTGGAGCCGCGCAGCCTAGGTAGACCAACAGGCCGAGCCGCGCGGCAGGCGAGTCCCCCGGTGTCCCCTCGCGCTCTCGTCGCTGGCCGCCCCAACACTCACCCCCAGGGAGGCCGCCACCAGGGGCCAGGGACCCAGCATCGCCCCGGCCGCCCGGGCGCCCGGGCCCGCAGGCAGCGGCGGACCCGGGGCCGGGCTGGGCCCAGCTCACGCCGGCCGGGCTGGGGACGCGCCGGGGCTGCGGGCGCTGCGAAGCCGAGCGCGCTCTCCGAGGCTGGGGGCGCGGGCGGGCGCCGCGGACGCGGGCGGCAGGACAGCGTTCGGGCGGCGCCTCCTGCACCGCCACCTCCTCCTCCTGCTGCTGCTGCTCTCGCGGCGGCGGCGGCGGCGGCTGCCTGGGCGAGATCAACAAGTCCGGGCTGAGCTTCGGCTCCGCGCTCGCCGCGATTCTGTCCCGCACTTCGGAGCGCCCGGAGTTCCGCACCGAGGCGGGACGGCGCCACCTGCGGGCAGCAAGCGCGAACGCCGTTTAACTCCTGCTTGCCCGAGACAGCCTGCTGGGGAGGCTGTGGGCCGGCTGGGGGTTTGGGCGAGGAGGAGCCTGGCAGTCCTAACCTTTCCACTCGGGCTGTCTCCGCTGTTTCCGGGCCATCCCGCCTTCCTTAGTCCCGTCAACATCGTGAACGGAGTGCCCGCGGTGTGCAAGACACTAGGGTAAGCGTCTGAGATACAGCTGTGAGCCCAACACAGAAGCTTGGCTCTCGCGGAGCTGGCTGGAGACAGACCCAAAATAAGGCAAAGAACATTTCAGAGGACTATAAGCGTTTGGGGGAATAATAAGGCAAAGGAAAGAGGTAGGAAAGGGGGAGCTGCAATTTTAAATAGCCCTCGTTTTCATGAGTTTCTATTCTAGATAGATTCTAGTGTCTATTCGAAAACCTAATTCTAGAATGGATTCTAGTGGGGGAATGTGGACAAGGAATACATCAACGAATATGCAACGTGGCAGTTGGTGATACCTGCTAAGAAAAACCAAGGTGAGGGCAAGAGTGAGATGTGAGCTAGTTTATATAGCCTAGTCATTCATTCATTCACTGATTTATTCACTCATGTTATATTGGACAGCTAGGTATTGAGAGCTCCCTGTGTGCCGGGTCCTGTGGCGGATTCAGTAAAAGAAACACCTTCCCCTTGAGCTCCCAGTCCAATGGGGGAGACAGAATCCATCAAGTAATCCCCAGAGGTGAACATAGAACCAAGGATTTACCTAGAGAGGCGAGCAAGGCTTCCCTACGGATGGCATAGTTCTCCTCCTCCCCCACCATTTACCCATTTATTCTGTCAAATACATAGTTACTGCCTGATAAGCAAATAGGCCCTGAGATTCAATAGCGAGCCCCTTGCTCGGGAGGAGAAAAGCTGTGAATAAGCCCTCGGCCCCCGGGGGAAAGGTCCTTTCCCTCTCTGTCCCTTTTCTTCATTTCTAAATTTAAAAGGGTTTGTTTCTATAGGGTTGAACATAATATTGTTACATATTTGTAATCTGTTCACGGCTCATCACCTCCATTATCATGGCCCTTGTGCAAGGTTCCATCATCCTTGGCGGGGGGTGTGGCTAGATTCCCTCCAATACATAGATAGCACAGACCTCCACAATAAAGAATTCTCCGATCCTAAACGTCAATAGTGCCAAGGTTGAGAAACCCGCGTTTAATTTAATAGAAGGCAAAGGTATGTCCTGCTCTGGAAATACTATTCTTTTAACCAATAATTAGTGAACACCTACTCTGTGCTAAGCACTACTCTAGACACTGGAGATACAGTGAACCTAAAAGCGGCAGTTCCTATGACACGTGGACTTACATTCTGGTGGGGAATACAGTTAATAAATAATGGGAGAAATAAACCGATCGTTCAGCTTGTGATAAATGCCACGAAGAAAGTGAGCAAGAGGAAGTGATGGAGCATGCCTGAGACAGCGTCAGCACCTTTAGATAGGGAAATCGGGCAGCGGAGGCTTCCTACAGGAGGTGATACGTCTCAGCTGAGAACCTAAGGGCAGGGAGAAGACAACTGTGTGAAGTTCCGAGGAAGGGGACACACACAAGGGGGCCAGAAAGGGCAAAAGCTGGAAGGTAGAAAGGAGCTTGGGAAGGGATGTTAGAGGGGCGGACAGGACCAAACCATGTAGCGCTGCACTAGGATTTTATAAATAAGGTTTATAAAAATGAGTTTGAGCTTAGAAAGCACAATGGGAAGCCGGAATAACGTTTTAAGCAGAAAAGTCCCATCTGCTGATCTCTGTCTTGAAGTGATTCCTCTAGCTGCTGTGGGCACTGTGGAGTGTTGGGGGACAAAAGCTGGTAGCAGGAAAACCTATCGTGAGGTTTCTGCAACTGCCCAGGCTAGAGGTAATAAGGCTTGGACTGGGATGATGGTGGTGAGGTTGGCTGGGCAATTTCACAGCCACAAGGCCCTGACAGGGGAGATTCCTCAGTAAAGGCTAGGGCTAAGTATTCAATGTCATTCAGATTCTTCCCACTGGGTGGCCTGATTCCTGCAAAGTCAGGCTCCAGATTCTGATAAAGAACATCTGGATGCACCTGGAAGTGCAAACAATGGGAACGGCTCTTTCATTTTCCAGCAAACAGCTCTATTGCTACAACTTGTCCGTTCATTTACTTAACAAGGATTCAGAGCAAACTTACTCAAGACCTAGTGGCTCAGAAAGCAAGCATTCAGATGTCATTACTTACAAGCAGAATGACCTTGGGTAAGTAATCTAATCTTCCTGGGCCTCAATTTTTCTCTCTGTAAAATAGGGATGGGAATAAAGAGAGGGCCTGCCTGATAGGGTTATTATGAGGAATTTATAGAAAGCATTTACTCATTGCTAGCTTCTAACTGATAAATTATAGGTTACCCAAGGGCAGGAGCTGGTCTGTCTTGCTCATCTCAAGTAACAGAGTACTTAACTAATTGAGCCTTAAAGAATAAAGATATTTAGTTATTTCACAGGAATTTCAGAGAAGAGTGGTATGAGAGTTGATTTAGCTGCTCAACTATGTTATGAAGGACTCAAATTTCTTCCATTTTTTGCTCTGTCTTCTACAATATATTGTATCCCTGGCTCATTGTCTCAGTCACAACATGGCTGCCACCACTCCTTGCATCAATCTCTGTAAAATTGTATTCAAAGGCAAAAAGAACAAGATGGCCAAGGTGGCCAAAATTAATTCTCCTGTCATGCTTCTCTCTTTTTTTTTTTTTCATAATCTCTCCATCCCCTGCCAAATTTCCTATCATGGGTCACATGGCCACTCCTAGACCAATCGCTGACCAAAGGAACAGGATTCATCCTGCTACATTCATTACTGCCCTTACAAAACTGAAGTTTGTTTAATCAGAAAGAGGTGAAGCTGCCGGGACCGGTTTGGCTCAATGGATAGAGCGTCGGCTTGGTGACTGAAGGGTCCCAGGTTTGATTCCGGTCAAGGGCATGTACCTTGGTTGCGGGCATATCCCCAGTAGGGGGTGTGCAAGAGGCAGCTGATCGATGACTCTCTCTCATCGATGTTTCTATCTCTCTCCCTTCCTCTCTGTATAAAATCAATAAAATATATTTAAGAAAAAAAAAAAAAGAAAGAGGTGAAGTTGAGTAGGCAACCAACGTGTCTGCCACACTGTTCTTAT